AATTTCCAGTCAGGGACATACCTGGGTCATGGGTTTGATCCCTGGTTGGGGCACATATAGGAGGCAACAAATTGATGTTTCTCTCTCACATTGATGTTTCTCTCTCTCTATCTCTTCCCCCCCTTCCTCTCTCTCCCTTCCTCTCTCTCTCCCTTTCTCTCTCCCCCGCCCCCCTCCTTCCTCTTTCTCTCCTCCTCCTCTCACTAAGCATGTCCTCAGCTGAATTAACAAAAAAGCAAGCATTGCCCAGTCAGTGTGGCTCAGTGTTTAAGTGTTGACCTATGAACCAGGAGGTCATGGTTCCATTTCCTGGGTTGAGGGCTCAATTTCCCTTCCTCTCTGAAATCAATAAAAATATATTAAACAAAAATAATGCAAGCACTTTAGCATGGTGTGGGGTCATGTGCTCAGTGCTTAGTAAATGGTGGTGCTGGGGGTTACTTTTAGTAATATCCTCCTTTTAAAAAAATGCTTTTACTTATTTCAGAGAGAGGAAAGGAGAGGGAGTGAGAACTAGAAACATCAATGATGAGAGAGAATCATGGATGGGCTGCCTCCTGCACTCCCCCTACTGGGGATGGAGCCCACAACCGGGGCATGTGACCTCCTAGTTCATGGGTCAGTGCTCAACCATTGAGTCCCACCAGCTGGACAATAATATCCTTTTAAAAAGATCACTCAGAATTGATAGTCTCCCTGAGGCTTTTTGGGGAGCACTGGGGGGAGGTTAAAACAAGAGGTTTTCTTCCTGAAGCCCAGCCCTGGAAAAACAATGGCAGAGATGATCCTGAGGCCTGAGGATTCCATCATTTCCATCTGAGGTTCCTCTAGAGCAGCGGTTTTCAACCTTTTTCATCTCATGGCTGACATTGCTAAATTACTAAAATTCTGCAGCACACCAATATATATATACTTTTTATCGATCTGACAATAAGTTATAATTTAGATTTATTTACAAAATAATAATAGTAATTCCTATCCTTTTTGCTCCAAAGTGACGTTTTAAAAAATCAGGTGCCTATACTTGTATACAAGAATTTCCAGTACCAAGAATTAACTAATCAGAAGCAACCTTATTATGCGATGTGTCTAATAAGATGCAACTCTGCTATAGGATCTACTAGTATATATTTATGGTTCAAGACGACATTCATGCCAGACAGCTATTGTTGTATTGGCTGTCATCATCATCATCATTATTATTTACAATCTAAGGGAAAAGAGGTCTAAATAGTCAGGTATTGCATGTTTTAAACATTCTTGAGGCACACCAGTTGAAAATCACTGCTGTAGAGTAAAGCCCTTCCTATGGAGAGAGTCATAGAGGAGACAAGGACCCAAGTACAAAGCAGCCTTGGGTAGAGTTTTGTCACATTAACCCAGCTTCAAAACCTGCTTGTTCTAGTTACCAGCTTTTTAACCTTAGGCAAATCGCACAGCCTCAAGAACTTCAGTGTGATCACAGAGTTAGTATTTGCCTCCTGGATTAGTGGAGGAATAAATGAGAACTATAAAATGCTTAATGTGCTTCCTTACCAGAACTTGCTTAACAAATAGTTGCTCTGCTTATTGTGATTTTTATGGTACAGCAAGATTGAGATCAAGAAGGTAGCATATTGCCCCAACCGGTTTGGCTCAGTGGATAGAGCGTTGGCTTGCGGACTGAAGGGTCCCGGGTTCGATTCCAGTCAAGGGCATGTATCTTGGTTGCGGGCACATCCCCAGTAGGGGGTCTGCAGGAGACAGCTGATCGATGTTTCTAACTTTCTAACTCTCTAACCCTCTCCCTTCCTGTCTGTAAAAAATCAATAAAATATATTTTTTTAAAAAAAGAAGGTAGCATATTGATGCGATTTAAGAATGTGGGGTCTGGAACGAGACTCTCTGGGTTCAAACCCTATTTCTATTATTCACTAGTGTTGTAACCCTGGACAAATAACTTCTCTGTTCTTCAGTTTCCTTACGTGTAAAATGGGGATAGTAATAGTACCCACTCATGGAGTTATTGGAAGGACTGAGTGGGGTGACTAGTTCCTCCTTTTAGGAAGCACCATTAAGAGTATGTCTGTTATTTTCAGTGAAGAGTTGACCCCACACTAATAAGAATGATCATTAAATGGATACTGTCATTTAATGAAACATTATCTATATAGAACACTAGCCTTAGACCATCGATTACACTCTACTGATTTCTAAGATACTTTGAAACTTCTATTGTAAACTAGGCTTTTCTAGTCATGGCTTTAAGGCAAGCATGTCAAACTCGTGGCCTGCGAATGTTTTTGCGGCCCAGCCAATATAACGGTATGTAAGAAATGTTTTAATAAAAATTTTGTAACTTAATTTTTACAATATCTTGTTATACATAATTATTAATAATGAACTACAACATTTGCTAATGACTGATTACTATAATTATGTTGCATTCATTTCCCTTATGCGCCTTACGCGCAGGCGCACCATTTCTCTCCACTAATACTAGCAGCGAATATTTTAGCAGCCCATTGCCACGTCAGTAGTCTTGTACTGACTTGTTTGGTGTGCGCAACAGGAATTATTTCACTTTTGGAGAACAAGAAAAATAGGTTTATTTGCATTACGCTTATTAATTTGTGCAGTTATTTAATGTTTGGTAAGTTAATGTTCAAGAAAAAATATCAATTTTTATTAAAATGTTTTATTATTTTATGTTAATGATTACTCATTTATTTCAGCCCTTTGTATTCAGCATGTCTCTATCGAAATAAACCTATGTTTCTATGAAAATTGAAGCTTTTGTTTTTTTGCAGCCCACATAAACTTAAACCTTGTTTATTTGGCCCGTGTTAGTCTTTGAGTTTGACATGCTTGCTTTAAGGTGATCTGTTATCTTAAGCCATTGAAAGGGAATAGCTATGTGTTTTGAAAAAAAGAAAAGAAGTCAGTCTTTTTCTTATGACAAAGACAATGCATGTTCATTATAGAAAATTTAGAAAATACATAGAAGCAAATGTATGAAAAATCATTCATAATCCCACAAGACAGAGATAACCACTGTGAACTTTGTTGCCTAGCCTTTTAGCCTTTTTAAACAAGTTTGTTTATGCATGTGGTTTTTAAATTTTTATAATTCTTTATTGTTGAAAATATAATTTTTTTTTATTGATTGAGGTAACATTAGTTAATAAAATTGTTTGTGCATTTTTTTCCTCACCCAAGGATATTTTTCCATTGTTTTTTTGTTTGTTTGTTTGTTTTTTAGAGAGAGAGTAGAAAGGATGGGGAGAGACAGAGAAAAACATCTATGTGAAAAAGACATATTGATTGGTTGCATCCTGCATGCACCCCGATCAGGGCTGAGGATCAATCTTCAACCGGTACATGCCCTTGACTGGAACTGAACCTGGGACCCTTTGGTCCAGGGACTGACACTCTCTCCACTGAGCCAAACTGGCTAGGGCTGTTTATACATATTTTTTAAGAAATCCTAATATATATCTCTTTTGTAACCTTCACTTAATAGGATTATAAACATCTTTCCGTGTCATTGCAAATTTTTTATACCATCATGTTTAATGATTCCATAATGGCCCATTTTATGTAGGGAATGAAAACATTATTAATCAAATGAATATAATTTAAGCCCGGCCAGTGTGGCTCCATGGTTAGAGCATCAGCCTTCATACCGGTTTAATTCCCGGTCAAGGGCACATGCCTGCGTTGCAGGTTTGATTTCCAGCCCTGTTGGGGTGCATGCGGGAGACAACCAATGGATGTATCTCTCTCACATAGATGCTTCTCTCTCTCTTTCTCTCTTGCTCCTCCTCCCTCCCTCCTTCCCTCTCTTCCACTCTCTCTCTCAAAAAAAAAAATCAATGGAGAAATCCTTGGGTGAGGAGTAACAATCAATCAATAAATAAATAAATGTTAATCTGGAAAAAAATAAACACATGTCTTGAAGATAGTACATAAGGAAGGGTGTTATAAAAATAGTGTTGGGAATGTGCTCTCCTTAGAGCACACCCGCACCCCTTTTTCTTGGGCATGAACTTTTGTTCTCTTTTTCCTAAACTCTAAGGGTCCCCACAAGACTTGCAACCAGGGAAGCAACAGCAGCTCGTCCTGGGCTAACCCCCTGAACCTGTCTCCAAGCCTCCCTTTTCTCTGACTTTTCAGTAAGCTAAAAGCAGTCCTGCCTTGGCCCACTTCTGTCATGTGACTTTTACTTCTCAATGAGTCCAGGAAGCCTGGTGTGCCTCACTTCTTTCTTATAAAGTTTTTAGAGAGCCAAAGTAGCACCATCTAGGCTCTCTCCTGTTGCTTCTTCTATCCTAAGCTCTTCTTTTGTTTCACTGTCCCCACCTTTAATAAATATACTCTCAAGAAAAAAAATAGTTATGGGGTTTTAGAACATCCAAAAGGATAGGTTTCACACTCTGAAGAGCTTAAACAATAACTGTAGGCATAATCAATTGGTAACTTAAATAGGACATGGTGTTAATAGACTTGATCCCTTTATTCATCTTTGGGCTGAAGTGTTGTTGTTTTTTGTTTTTAATTTTAAAAATTCTTTATTGTTGAAAGTATTACATATGTCTCCTTTTCCCCCCATTGACCTCTCCCAGTTGCTCCTCCCCCCAGCACTGGCCCTCACCCCCTGCCCCTACTGTCTGTGTTTATTGGTTATGCTTATATGCATGCATACAAATCCTTTGTTTATCTCTTACTCCCCACCCCTTTGGGCTGAAGTTTTATAAAATCTTTATGGTTCTGGAAATGTTACAATAAATATTCCTGTGGTATTTCGGGTTGCTAAAGGTAACCCGACTTCCTTGTTTTCCTTTCATTGGAATTCAAGCCAAGAGGCTTTCTGTGAGTTTCCAAAGCACCTTGTATATCAGGGGATATTTGACAGGTGATTTATTTGAAAAGTTATAGAAAGTTTCTTGATTTGGGGACCCTCCGAATCTAATTCTGATTGATGAGGCTGGATTATTCCATACATCTATTTCTTTTTACAGGTAGTGCCTTCCTCAGTGCTATTTTTCTTGCCTTAGCAACATACCAGTCTCTGTACCCACTCACCTTGTTTGTCCCAGGACTCCTTTATCTCCTCCAGGTAAGCACTTGCTGGTCAGAAGCCAGTACTCAAGTGACATTTGATACATGGCCTGGTCTCTGCTTGGGGGAAAGGAGGGCATGGCTTAATCAGGCAATGGGACTGGGCCTCCAATTCACACTTACTAGTACAGCACAGGCTTGATTGGAACATCGTGTTAAGATGGAAAGCAAAATAGTTGTCAAAGATTAATGGTACTATGTCAAAAGAACAGTGGAATCAGTCCAAAGGGACTCCTGCTGGCTATATTTAGGATATTTTTAGCATCAAGTAATTGTAAAACACTGAATAAATAAAAATCTATGTGTCCATAGTTATACTCAGAAAAGGGGTGAGGAGAGGGGGAAAAAGTACACATTATCATTAGGTTTGGCTGTTTTACCAATTTCTTACTCTGAAAATTAATAATTAAAAGGAAAGAATTAAGCAGTTCCCTACCTTTTAAAAAGGAACTACGGTTCTTTCCCAATTAATAAGGCAAAACTCTACAGAAGAATGCAGCTTATAAATGTAGAAGGAATGACAGAATAGCAGATCCCCAGTGAAATGACTGACTCTAGCAAAGATCATCAAGGATGCCAAATCTTCAGGTGAAAGATTTTTGGAGAACTAGGATATTTGCATGGTGCCAAAATATTACGCCCCACTCCCACCTCTAAATTGTCTGCTAATAGAAAAGGGAAAAATAAATATTTACAAAGGAATGCTCTGGCTGTCACCACCTTAACCAAGTAATCCAACTCAGCATCACTTATAGCAGAACAGCTTGACATGATGTGCTTCTCGATGTGATGCAGCACAAAGTGCACAGCATCAACTCCGAAGTATTCTGACCTAAATGGGTGACCTTCATTAAGCCTCTAGATATGACTTGTGGTTTTTAGGAAATACAAGCGTGGAGGAACAAGTTAAATGATACCATGAGGAAACAGTAAAACAATCAGAATGTAGGATGGTCTATAAGATAGCTAGCTGGTCTGGTTCCCTTGAAAAGTCATTGTCATGAAAAAGATCAAGTGAGAGTACTGTTCTAGACTAAGGAGACACAATAACCAAGTGGAATGGGTGAGTCTTGATTGGATTCTGGTTTGGAAAAAACAGCTATAAAGTGTGTTTGGGGAACATTTAGAATATTTTGAATATACATTAGCTATTAGATGATGATAGAGAACTGTTAATGTCTTGGATGTGATCATAGTATTGTGGTATATAGGAAAATCTCCTTACTTTTTTAATATGTGTATATATATTTATTTTTTAATACTTATTTTTATTGATTTCAGAGAGGAAGGGAAAAGGAGTGAGAGATAGAAACATCAATGATGAAAGAGAATCATTGATCGGCTGTTTCCTGCATGCTCCACACTGGGGATAGAGCCCGCAACCCAGGCATGTGCTCTGACCAGGAATCAAACTGTGACCTTCTGGTTCATAGGTCAACACTCAGTCACTGAGCCATGCCAGCCGGGCAGAATCTCCTTACTTTTAGGAGCTACATGCAGAAGTGTTTTGGGGAGAGGTGTCATGATATGTAGAAAATTTATGCACAGAGAAAAAATTTATATACACAGATAAAAAGTATGGCAAAGTGTTAATATTTAATCTCAGTGACAGATATATGGTTGATTAGCGTATTCTTTCAACTTTTTTGTGTGTTTGAAAATTTTATAGTAAAAAGGAGGGAAATAGAATATAGGCTCTGAAGTTGTCCTGGCTTGGATCGGTATTAGCTTTGTGATCTTGGGAAAGTGACTACTTCTCTATGCCTTGGTTTACTCACCTATAAAATGGGGATAATATAATAGTAGCTACTGAAAAGGGTTAATACATGTCAAATATTTAGAACAGAGTATGATAAGAGTTCAATAGATATCAGTTATGGTTATTAGTGCTCAAATGTTCATAGAAAGGACAGGGTCACCAGCTTGAAGGTACATGGAGTGATGAGGGAGAAAAGAAAATATTTCATTTTCTATGGTCAAAGGAACTGTGAAAGTTAGTTTGTACTTCTTTGACACTGCAAACTTGCCTCCATTCTGCTGGTGGAATTTTGAGAGGGTAGGAGGTGGACAAGCTAGTGTCCAACCAGTGTGAGAGGCAAAGCTTTTTTTCTCTTCCCCATATGAGACACAGGAAGGCTTCAGCATCAAAGGCAGGGGATGCTGCATCTAGCTCACTAGTGAGTCACTTATGAGAGTGGTAGTTTGAGCCCTCTGGTCTCCTCCCCCATCTTTACTCTTCCTCTGACCTTGGCTTAGGGCCTAGTTTCCAAATGAGAGACAAGCTTAAAATGTTATGACCTGATAGCGTGCAGAATAAAATAGAGAGCCCTAAAGTGCACAGGACCTTGAGGCCGAGCTGTGAGGCTAGCAGAGGTGCCATCAGTGAAGTTCCTAGTTTCCTCCTTCCTTTTGCTTGGGATTCCTAAAGCCTTGGATCCCCTTACATGGCTTGAGGTTCTTATTTTCTTTGAAAGAAAGTAACAGAAACCAGGGGAAAATACTTTGTGAGTGCCCTTAAGGATCCAATCTGACTTCTTGTCTTTGAACTGAAAGGGTTACTCCTGTGATTTCAATACTTTCTGGAGTTTGGGGTAGATTACATGGTTCTACCTTGTATCAAAGGAGCCAAACCCAACCAGGTTTTTCTTAATAATGGGTCCCTTCCCTAGGCATTCTTTGGGGCTGTTCAGAATTCTTCACATCTTTTCTCTTTCCCCAGCAGCTTTCTGTCGTCTCTGCTGTTTCCAGGAGGGGGTCAAGGCAGAGGTGGCAATGGTGTTAGCTTCCTTTTCTTTTAGAACAGGTAAAAATGAGGGTAAGGGAATGATCATGCATTTACAGGTCTCATCCTTAAACTCTAAGAGCTTAGGTATAAAAAATTTTGTTAAGAGTTTCTTTTCTCTCTTTTTTTAAATTTTATTTTTCAATTACAGTTGACATTCAATATTATTTTGTATTAGTTTCAAGTGTACAGACAGCATAGTAGTCAAACAATCATATAATTTACAGTGATTTCCCCAATATTTCAAGTACCCACTTGGCACCATACATAGTTATTACAATACTAGAGGCCTGGTGCATGGATTTGTGCACTGGTGGGGTCCCTTGGCCTGGCCTGTGTCCTCTCGTAATCTGGGACCCCTAGGTAGACTTGGTAAATTATCCATTACTTTATATTTTCAGAGCTTTGTTTCCCAAAGCAAACCTGACTCTCAACACTGTCTTAAAATAAAAAAAAATTATACCTAAAATTTATTGCACATTTTATAATCACAGATTTGCCAGGGGAAAAAAATCATTTCCACCCAAACATTGACGCTAACACTTTAGGTCCAGTAAGCACTGAGAACATAATAGCAACTGGAAACTTGGAGCTTGCTAATGGGATTTGCAAAGAGTGAAACCTCATCTCCTGGGTGTGTGCTTAGGACTCTCTCCCCTAAGAGAGCTGCTTTGAACAGTGTACCTGATTCAGTTCTTCATGCCTGTCTTTTTCACTTCCCACACGTTTCTTTTTAAATATCATTAGTAGAGAAGAATGACAAAACACACACACACACACACACACACACACAAAATTTTGCTTTCAAGGTTTTGTTTTTCTCCTCTGGGCTGTGGTTTCCTCTCTTCCCTCCCTTTGTCCCTTCCTTCTATGCTAGATGGCAGTATTTTTCAGGAAAAGGGAAGGATCAAGATAGATGACCAAGGACAGGTAGAACTGTAGAAAGGAACTCAGAACCTAAGTGCCTTCTTCTTTGAATTTATCTATGGATGCCTCTTTGTTGAATTATTTTTCATCCCCAGAAATGTACTATTCTCTTGAAACTGTATTTTAGGGCAGTGTTATCAGTAGAACTTTTTGTGGTGATAAAAATGGCCTATATCTCTATATTGTTAATATTGAGCAATGAAGTGTGCTAGTGAGACTGAGGAATTGAATTTTTAATTTTAATAGATTCCCATTAATTTAAGTTTAAATAGCCACACGTGGCTAGAGGCTAGAGTACTTCATTTATTTATCTATCTATCTATCTATCTATCTATCTATCTATTTATTTATTTATTTATTTAAAATCCTCACCAGAAGATATGTTTTTACTGATGAGAGAGAGAGAGAGAGAACATTGTATGAGAGAAACATGCATGGCTTGCCTCCCATTTGTGCCCGGCAAAGTAGGTATATGCCCTGACCAAGAATCAATCAGCACTGGAGGATGGTCCCACCAACTGAGCCACACCGGCCTTGGCGGGAACACACAGTTTTACAGAGGGGTGAGAATAAGCTTAGAGAGGGTTGATCAGATTCCCCTCCCCTTATATCTGTTAACAGTAATGTTATCTCTAGCTTAAATCTCTTGATTAGCTTCCCATTGTCCTTAAAATCTTTACAGTGGAGTTATGATGTCTATAATTTATTTTTTCATACTTTTCCATAGACCATCTGGCACTATATCCATGCCAATTAGCTGCCTCAATTTAAATGGCAATGAGTTACTTTAATGAAGCATCTCACTCCATTGTGGTCATATAGTTTGTATCAGAAAGGCCACACTCCACAGGTGGCTGTTCTCAGTGCTTTGCTCTATATAGCTTGAGCTTCACCTTTGATAGTTAGCATGTGAATGTCAGAAACTGATTGGATTTTTATTGGTGAGACTAGAGGCCTGATGCACAAATTCGTGCATGGGTTGGATCCCTTGGCCTGGCTGGCGATCGAGGCCTATCAGGGAGGGGGGCCAGCCAGCAGTGGGGAGGGACCACGGGAGGTTGGCCAGCTGGTCGGGGGGCCAGCTGGCCTAGCAGAGGGACCACGGGAGATTGGCCAGCTGGGGGGAAGGGGACACAGGAGGTTGGCTGTGGGAGTGCACTGACCACCAGGGGGCGCTCCTGCATTGAGTATCTGCCCCCTGGTGGTCAGTGCACATCATAGCGACTGGTCGACTGGTTGTTCTGGTCATTCGGTCATAACGGTCACTTAGGCTTTTATATATATAGATT